TTCAAAGAAGAAGTGGAGGCATGATTGCAGCATATATATAGGGTACTTCTTCAACACAAGTCTGAATGAACTCATGAATAACCTTTAATGTATTCATTTGAGATGTTCAATGGTGGTAGGTGATTCAGTTTGATTAACCTATATTACAAACATGCAGAAGAACACTGGCCTCTTTTTTCTTCATTAGACAAACTCTCTAACATACAGCTTCTACGTAGTCTTATCTTTTATATAGGACAACAGTTGAGGGAGTAATGCCTCAACTTTGTGGAGTGAACTCAGCCTTACAAGTAGCAAGGGAGGAGGACGTGCTGGATCCAGTAATTACTCTGGGAATTGAGCATGTTTTATTGATTGTGAAAGGGCCAGGCCTGTCACCAAGCCTCCCAGTGTCTCCGTGGTCTGTCTTTAGGGAAGAGGGGACAGACTGGACCACCTGTCACTTGACCGGTCTTACACCTCGTCATGGAATATCAAATCAACTCTGGTAAGAAACGGTCATAAAGCTTGGTTTCTTTTATACATACAGCGTGCATGTGTATTTAACAGAAGCTACAGTAAGGCATGTACTCATTCTGTTAGACATGTCATATTGACTTTGTGTCAAGCTGTGGCCGTTCCTATGGCGACAAATACTCTACGCATTGATTTATGTGATACAAATGGTTAGTAAGCAACTTTGAGAAGTGCTGGACTGGTTTATATCAAAGTGGTCCAGGTGTATAATATCAAGGTCTTTTAGAAGAGATACAAAGCGATGCTGTGTGTGTGTGTGTGTGTGTGTGTGTGTGTGTGTGTGTGTGTGTGTGTGTGTGTGTGTGTGTGTGTGTGTGTGTGTGTGTGTGTGTGTGTGTGTGTGTGTGTGTGTGTGTGTGTGTGTGTGTGTGTGTGTGTGTGTGTGTGTGTGTGTGTGTGTGTGTGTGTGTGTGTGTGTGTTTGTGTGTGTGTGTGTGTGTGTGTGTGTGTGTGTGTGTGTGTGTGTGTGGTGTGTGTGTGTGTGTGTGTGTGTGTGTGTGTGGTGTGTGTGTGTGTGTGTGTGTGTGTGTGTGTGTGTGTGTGTGTGTGTGTGTGTGTGTGTGTGTGTGTGTGTGTGTGTGTGTGTGTGTGTGTGTGTGTGTGTGTGTGTGTGTGTGTGTGTGCAGATTTCACCTTCACACCAATCCAAATCCGATGCATGTGTTGGTTAGAAGTTTTATGACCTTTTTACATTAAATATTCCCTTACATGGTTCTCCATCCATTTTGCCAGATCAAAATCAACTTGCAGCTCAACCATCAGTTCTTTTTAACGTCAGTCTCTGAAGGGGTTTTGCTAATAAGTTGTAACATCTGTTATGTTTCTTGCGCTTTGTTAAAGATGTAATAGATGTTTTGCTAAACCTACTGTAAGCATGTTAGATTACTGCTGTAAATGTTTACAGTCATAACTATGTATACTGGTAATGACTGAAGACATTTTTCTGCCTATCATTATGAGCCAAATTGTATGATTTATTGCGTTGGGACTTTTGTAGTAGGGTTCCTGTTTACATCGAGTACACAAGACACAACCATGTGGCTGTACTTCCAGGCTCAGTTGTCCCCTTTCATATTCTCTTGCCTTTGCACCAGCAAACAGCCTTGGCTTTATGTTCGTTTATTGTTTATATATATTATTATTATAATTTTTCAGAATTTTTTGAGCAACCATTGTGACCATATTTACAATTTGGTCGGGTATTGAATTGATGACACTCATTTTTGGAGATCTTAAACTGTAGTGACTGTATGCATCTTCTATGTTGCCAGGACGAAGATGTGTTTGAAGCACTAACATTTTCAGATGTGTAGTTTTTTCGCAACCAAGCATGTTTGTGAACACATTTGGACCCCGAGGTACTTGTTTGAGTCCACCCCCTTCCTCTCCTTGGATGAGGGCCTCCTGTCCTCTCATAGTCCACCACAGGCTCATAGGTTTTGCTGATATTGGGCTTCAGGTGATTTTTGTTGCACCATGTAACAAAGCTCTCTATCAGTCCTCTGTACTCCTCTGTAAAAATAGTCTCTAAGTGTAGACAGCATGTTTCTCTGTGGAATTATACATATCAAAAAGTGATAACTCCTTTTGCCAAAAATACACTTAACACATTTGATTAAATTCCTTAAAAGTCTACACTGTATACATTTGAAAAGTCTGGACAGTCAAACTGCAACTTGACTTGTTGGCAGTGGCATACAAGTCAAGGCGGTAATTGTAGCTATGTTTATCTCTTCGTCTCTGTTTCTTACACATGCACGCGCACACACACGTATGCACAAAGAGCACATGACTCTGTCCCCTCCTAACACTCGAGAAGTCAGAGTGTCACGCACAAACATGTCCTCGGCTACAGTGCAGGCTTTGTTCTGCTTTGTAATCTGACCATCTTCTGACATGTCTATCTGGGTAGAAGAAGAAGAAGAAGAAGATGGACCTTTATTAATGCCCGAGGGGGAAATTCAGTAGTGGTGCCGGCCGAACATTTCCCACTTAGTTCTAAAGATTTAAATGTCTTTATTTGAAGTATGTTGTGAAATGATCAACCACAGCATTAGATGGAGTGATCATTGATATCCCGAAATGTTTTGTTTTTTCGCAAGTAGTTCTAGCTATCTAAACACTTTTGATGAATGTGGACACGAAGTTGGCAGCGCGGCACACCTGCAGTCTGAAGTCCCTCTCAGCTTGTCATTTCATATCTGTGTAAGAGAAATGTCATGACACAGTGTATTATGTCTCTAGACTTGAACTGTCCTGCTGTGACAGCTTCTCTGCATACAGAGAGGGAAAGATGTGCTTATACGTGTGTTTCACACTTAGATTACATAGATAAACACATTCACAAACAGAACTTACTGTGGTTAATTCAGACCAGCCTCAACAGATGATTACAGATAAGGCCACCTCAGATAAACTTCTCTAAACCTTCACCAAGATCGTAAGAAGGCACACAGATAAACTGTTGAATACTGTAAAGTAGGGCTGTTCAGGGTAATCAACTGTTAAAAACATACTGTTCACATTTTTTTTTTTTTTCAATAAATGGATGTTTTCAAAGTAAATGGATAATCGTTTTTAATAATCGTGATATCAATTATTGACCCAAATAATCGAGATTATGATTTTTGCCATAATCGAGCAGCCCTACTGTAAAGTAGTGCATTGAAATTCAAAGGCAACCAACTTTCTCCAACTATCAATAAAAGCAGAGTGTATAAACTGTCTTAACATCTACTGATCGCATACAAACGCAAACATAAAGTAAGAATAATATTATCTCCCTAACTCTACTCAGATAAAATACACCACAATTGTCGGTCAAGTTTATAAATAGCTGGTAATTTGTTTTACTTAATTGTAAAACCAAAAGGTGTTTATTACACCGTGTCGTGTAATCTGATGTAATGCATCTCCATTATCCAAAATAAAAGAAAGAAAAAATCTGATATTGCTGGAAAATTTCAGATTGTGGTCATTATATGAATTATTTAAATACACAATTAATTCACCAGAATAGATCCCTGAACACCCCTGATCTCCCTCTTCCTCGAACCTCATAATCAGAATGTGTGTGTGTGTGTGTGTGTGAGAGTATGTTAGTGTGTGTGAAATAGTGAATGAACAAGAACATAGTCACTCTCCATGGCCTGTTGTGATGTGGTTTGGGGAAATTCTTTGTGCGGGTTCAGGCGGTTTCTTTCCTGGCTCAGACAGCCGTGCGTGGGTAGTTTAGCGAGGTGATCTCAGTCAGGTTTGCCTACAGCGGAGCCCCGATTCAGACAGCCAGACACCATAATGCCAGTCCATCTGTAACCCATAATGACTGTGTGCCACTGGAACTGGTCATTTTCGTTTTCACTGCCAATTCGGCCCCTGGCGTCCTCGCCGCACAACTGCTGACTGCATGTTATGGCCTGAGTTGTTAACCTTTTCACATTTGTATTCATAGGGGAAATGTAGTTGTTTAGACATTTTCTATTTGCTGGGTGTAAGTGATGGATGCACCTCCAGGGAGTGGGCTATATCTCTTCTCTCAGAGACAGGACAGAGTTTACATTTTCTCTGGGGAACAGTGCGATCTGAATCACTGGCCAGGTTACACGCTCATGTGGGAATATAAGCCCCTCCCCCTATGACTTCTCCTACAGCTCAGGAGATTTCAACCACTGCCACCCCAGACTAGGTGCTCTCTCAATCATCTTTAGACCAAAGCTGGCATCAGGATGGGTCAGCTCAGACAGAGCAAGGGAATGTTGTTCTGGAAAATATAGACAAACTAGTTCTCCTACGGTGAACATATCTTTGTAAAACTCTATCAAAACATGTCTCTACAGTAAAATTGAAGCAGCCTGCAGCAGTTAAGCTTATCTTAGCAGACAGACTGAAAACAAAGGGTATCCACGTTTAGATGCCAACTCTGTAGAAGCACTTTGTAACTGATTAAATGAAAGCATCAAATAAATTAAATGTTATGCAAAAAAAGATATATACCGTTTATGAAATCAGTAATGTGAATATAATTGGTTAAGTGGATAAAAGCAAATAATATATCAGCTAGATTCTATATCGGGTAAATACAGAAATGACATAGCCTTTAGAATGACCAAATGACTCATCATTAATGGTTCCAACCAGTGGTGAAGGTATTTTAATGTGTGTCACCAGCTCCATTGCCATTACTGTGAGTCTACTGTGAATGTGTAAAAAACACATAACAGTTCAGTGCGGCTAGCCAGTGAGTGTTGTGTAGCCGCTACCCTGTAAGTGTGAGGTTGTCTTTCATTGACTTCAGCTGTGGTTCAAGAGCAGCAGCAGAAGAGATAAGGGTACACCATGTGGGTCTCATACTTTCTGAATGTGCTTGAGAACAGAAAGCAGAGCCCTCCGGTGCTTTGAAGTGCTTAAGGAGACATTACTGAGTGTCAAGTTTAACTTTGTACCCCCCCCCCCCCCCCTCTCTCTCTCTTTCTGTCTTCTCGTAGATTGTGGTGCAGCCTGTTGAGGGCTTTGCGAAGGCAGAAGAAAGAGTGTTGTGTATACAAGAAGAGAGACCGTTGCACAATGTGCTAAAAGAGAAGCAGAAGAAATCGTGTTGTTTTTCTGATATTGTTGAGGTGTCAGAGAGACCGGAAAGGACGCAGCCATGGGGCGGAAGAAGATACAGATTGCCAGGATCATGGATGAGAGGAACAGGCAGGTAAGTGTCAGAATCTATCTATCCATACATCTATACATCTATACATCCATACATCCATACATCCATACATCCATACATCCATACATCCATACATTTATATATCTACAACAAGTGCAGATCTCAAGTTTGATCACAATACACAATTATAACGATTCTTTGGACAACAATAGGCTAGTGAGAAAGGTCCTAAAGATGATGACATGTATCAATGTTTTCTTTTAATATAAGGGTTAAAATACAGTTAATGTACAGTTTTATAATATTTTCCCTTATGTCTTAGCTTTTTCTTTTCTAAATATACTACTGTATCCTTCCTTTGTGTCTCAGAACACAGTCTTCTCACTACCTGCTTGAAGGTTACAGTCTTCTTGTATTTTCCTTTCCACCTCGGACCAGAGTTCAGCAGCTGTCATGGTGCTCATGGATCTAAACAGACAAACGTCCCTCCCTAATGTCCCAGCCAGCTGAAGAGGGACCATGACATTTCTTTGTCAGTGCGGTCGTATTTACAGACATGATTCCCATGCCACCCTGCAATTTCAGCCAGAGAAGTTGATGAGGCAGCAGGAGCGCTGGGCTGCAGCGGGGGCCTCATGGCGTGGGAGTGAGCTGAGGCTAGCGAGGAACACAGCGGGCCGCCTGTGGCCTCCCCACACTGTAGGGCTTGTCCCTTGGCCTGGCAGTATGGCTGGCCCCTTCGCTGTAGCCCTATGTGTTTGCAGCTGTTTGGTAGTAATTAGGAGCAGCCACTGCACCACAGCACCCTCTCATTTGCAGGGTGGGTCAGCAGGACACACAGCACCCTTCTCTGATTCGGCTACACTGGTCCCAGCAAGCCGCAGAAAGGGAGAGAGCTGGAATTCTGTCTGCTCATGTTAAATATAAACTCCTAAACACTGTAGAAAACAACCAAGGTCTGTTTGGAACAAGAATAACAGGCTTGGATATGTATAGCAGGAAGGCTGTGTCCATTGCTTTTTTTCTCTTTGATTTAAGAGCTAAGTTGAGGTAGCTTGAGCACAGTTTTTGATGAATTACACCAATTAATGAAGATGCATAAGTTTCCCATAGCCAAGTAGAACACATGTTGTGTTACCCTCAAAATATAATTTGCGTTTCTTCACAGGTGGAGCAACTTTTTGCTGTGCTCACAGAAATCTCACAGAGCTACATTGGTGATTCATTTCCTGGGGGTATTAAAATGATACGAGTACTAGCCAATCGGTTCTCTGACCGTGTGTCTGACTGTTACTGTGAGGCTAGCAGTTCAGCCAAGTGCAAAACAAAAATCCACACTGTGGGCCAATTATAAGTATAACACCTGGCTCTGGTTAGATCCAAGCAGGAATCACCCCGGGCTCATTGCTGGTATCTACACTGTATGCAATGACCTGTGACATCAGTGAGAAAAAGAAAGAGAAGAAAATGACATGAAAACAGGTTGTCAAATGTTCGCTAGGGCAGCAGGTTAACCCTTCAGAAGATGCTTTTTTATATTGCCTGTGTGGAGGAAGTGAGGGAAGACATTTAGCTGCATTGTTTCACAGAAGCTGCAGAGAGAGCAGTTACTCATTGTTAATGTGTCTCCCAAAGTCGAGTGTTTGCATCAGATTTTAAATGTCTCACTGTATATTTTGTGAGAAAGTTTATCAGCAGAATGCAGGCATTTCAGCTTTTGCTTTTAGTTGATTTTTAGCTGGCTCGGCAGAGAAATCTGCTGTGATAATAGGCCACTGTGCTAAAATAAGGCTTGGGTAGAAAGTGATGTATACGTGTGTATCTCTCTATTTCTTCACCCTGTGGGCCATGCAACGCACAATGCCATCTCCCCAGGGCGTGCTCTTAACCGAGGGGGAATATCTATTAGCATACGGTCCCATTGGTCGGGAGACAATTTGAATCTTTATCTACGCCTCTCTGCTGCTAGCTATCCATACTCAGGCGTTCAAATTAAAGAAGTCCTTAAGTGGGCTAATTAGATATTATTGCTATACAAAATGTTTTGAGGGGACGTGGCTCCCTTTCAATATCATACAAGTGCTTTAGGAGGGCTGTTAACCTTTCAGGATTTATAACACATAATGTGGCTAAGGCTGGGAAGGTTTGTTATTGCGCAGTATATCAAGAATTGTGAGTGCAGAGTTGGGGCAGGCTGTGAGCTTAGCTGATATTTAGCTTCAAGTCATAGAGTGTATAATGACAACACAGTTTTTTAATTCTGAGAAATTAAGTGTAATATGAAAAATTGACAAGTAATATAAGGTAGTTAAATATTGTGTCAAGTGAAAGTGGGACCTTTTGTGCAGCTCTACTGTGTGTCTCTACTGTGTGGCCTTGCAGAGGCGTACAGGATGAGACGCGAAGGCAGCAGAGGTCCTGTCATGCATACTGTAGGATGTTAAGAGCCAGTTCCTGAGCCATTCACTGCATAAGTGATGGTCCTACATTGCACAGAAGCACAGTCATCAGCCAAACTGACACGCTGATTGCAAATGAATGCTAGATAACAACCATACGACAGCACCGCCCTGGTTCATTCTCCTCATTTACAGTATTCACAGCAAGTATTACAGTTTGAGTCACAGACTCACATGCATTTTTTTAAACACTATTATCTAACATTCACATTTTAATCATGTTTCTTTTTGTATCATACCCACACATACAATGCTTTACAGTAAAGTAATCTGTGACATCTGGCTCTTAAATCTGTTGTGTTCTTTCTAGGCAGGTTTGAAACTTATGAACCACAGGAAATAACAACAGCAGAGCCGGTGGCACTCAATGTGTATTTTCAGGGTCTTTCACCTACTGAGCAGCTGTCATGGTGTGCATGAACTGCAGGAGGGGTGATGGTGGATAAGCGAGGGTACACATTAGTGTTGTAGGTTAGTGTAAGGAGCTTAGTGTATCCCAGTGAGCAGTGTATTGTGACATCCTATGAATGCCATTAAGCAGGCTCACTGGGGGTAATTGCCCAAGTCATTAAAAGTTTGATGATGGTTGCTGATGGGTGGAGGGTTGCCTGCCCTTGCTGTGGCTCATTTTGGAATCTTGCTCTGGCACTTCAGATGCCTGTAGGCACAGGGTAGCTCTCTCTCTCTTACACTATCTCTCCAGGGAACAACACAGCGCAGAACTCCAATTTTTCAGCCTTAGCCAATTCCTGAAGTTCTGAGCGGCCATCATTATTTTTTTGACAGGTGAAGAAGTTGTTGATAGACCATGGACAGAACAGAGGGACACTGTTACATTTGACAGGTTATGTCAATATAATATTATATATTATCATTGCTCAAGATGATATGTAGTTTCCATAAAAACTGCGCTGAAGAGGCAAAACATGAAGTCTGGTGATGTTGATTTTTTGTCCCGTTGGGGTACACCTTGTAATGCATCCCCGAAAAGTCCACAAGTGTTTATTTACTCTGTAAACACAACAAAGCACACTTTGGCAATTACAGTTTCAATACATTTAACAGTACATTTGCCTTTAAACAGGGTCAATCTGGTTATTGATTAGAGCAATTTCTAGGAAACCTACTCACGTTTAGTATGTTTTAGCATGTCACGTCTCCAATGAAGAGGATCAGTCACGGCTACTGTAGGTTTCAAGGTCAATCCCACCCAGTAAACGAAGCTTTGCGCCCTCAGTTGCCCACATGGTGATCCTGGGGCTGTCCTCTCTACCAGTTAGAGTTGATGCAGGCAGACAGTCGTGGTGGCCCTGGCTTGTCTCCCAGGCCGGCACACTCCGGCACCACGTAGCCAGGGCAGCAGCCACAGGGCCTGGGTCACTCTGCCAGCTGGTGCCAGACCTCTCTGACTCTCAAGCCCACTGTCATGTCTGCCACGGGGGCCATCAGAGGTGACATGAGGTTTTAATAAGGCCTCTAGCTCGTCACCCCTCTGAAGGTGTTAGTGACTCAGGCAGCTCCTGCCATGCCCCAGTCACAGCTGCACTCCGAGCCCCAGATGTCTTGTTTGTCATCTTGGCACCGCTGCCTGAGGACAGACATTGATAGACCTTTGGATTGACACATCAACTCTGCGTGGATGTCTGTCGGGCTTTTGTAGTAGCATATGTTCTTATATACCATATTTATGTGCAGAGTATGTCTCAGGATAGAGGAAAAAATACGGAATAAAGCTAAATTAGATGCATTTGTCTCAGGAGTTGTACATATTGATAGAATAAAGAAAAAATATTCACTTGTGAGTATTTGATTTGAAGCCCAGTTTCTCCAAACTGTCTCTTATAGCAGCTTCAGCACTCTTTTACAGAAACATCTTAAACAATGCACCTTAAAATGATTTTGTAGATACCAGTTAGCTTGCACATAAAACTTGTACCCAAAGTATAAAAAGTATCTATTTAATTACCAAGCTCAATTAAAGCTAAGTAAAAAGTGGTGAAGCACTTGGGAAGAAGTTTGAAAATGCCAAAAAAGGGAGAGCAGAATTACCACCTCATCCTGACATAGTGAAAGCTTATTAAAAGGTCAGGGTTTTCAGCTGAATGCTAGTAGTTGTTTTTCGGTCTGGTGTTGTATGAGCTGTTGTAATGACCTTATCACAAGCAGAGAAAGTTGGAATAACTCCAGTTTATTGAAAGTTTAAAAGTGGCCTCCCTTCTCTCTGGCCCTGACATTTGATTTCTCAGAACATGCTTAAGATGTATATTTACTAAAAAAGCATTGCAGCACTGAGGCTCATCCTGTCATTGTGAATTACATGAATTAGTCAGGGACCCAGACAACATGTGCACCACATCTTACTATATGAGCGACCCAAATGTATGAAACCACATTGACAGTCTTTGTGGGTGTCTTTTACTTTGTGAACCATAGGAAAGCTCCGCCAGTAAACCTCCCACTTGACCTCAAGGATCGCTGTGGTTTCTACTGTCTCACCAGTCACCCCAGAAAAGATGTGGGTGTAAGGAGGTTATATTTGTGTATCTTGGTCTTTCTGCACGGAGCTGTTCTGTGTCATGACTTAAGATACGTATCAAAAGGAGCAAAATATGGGCCAAACTTCCATCATTCCCTATTAAAGGGAACTGTATAAGTACAAAAGAGTAATGTGATCGTCATCTTTAATGGCGGTGTGAGCAGCAGCTGGCTTTTGTAGAGGTACTGTGTTTGGGGCCGGGGCACGGACCAAGTCTCAGTGCTGCAGCTGAGGTTGAAATGAAGCAATGCCTGGGTCAGCAGCCCTGCACTCAGCACTCTGCCATGCATCCAGGTGGAACAAAGTCCTCGCTCAGCGTCTCATCCGTGGCTTCCTGCTGAAAGGTGACATCTCCATGGCTTAACAGCCACATTCATCTGCTAAAGAGCATACAATTTGTTAATCATTTTCCCACATGAGAGTCTCTGCTTGCCTGTACAAGTGCAGACAGGCAAATGAGCGGGAACGAGGCCCTAGTTTCTGATCAGAGGACACAAGTATCAGCTGGTTAGGAAAGCAAGTGCTGTAAGAGGGTAAAAAAAAAGACCTGAGATTGGTCACATCATATCCCCTTATCTACCTTCATGATGGGATCCTCTTGAGAGAAGCATCCGGAAACCAAAACCAATAAATGGTTTTTTTCTGTTCCGCCATACTCACTCAAAGTCTTTATATGTCTGCCATTTGCGAGTAAACATGTTATTTGGTTCAGTTTGAGTACAAACCTTGTAATTTCAAGAAGATTCATTTAGGAATTTGGTTTGAGCAAATTGGTGTATTCAATGAAAAATATCACAAGGACAGGACCCCCATGTCTAGAGAGAGTATAATATTCCTGTGTAATTACTTGTAGTGTAGAAGATTTGAAATTCATTTATCACAGTTTGATTGACCCCACAGCCTGAGCTTTACGTAGACACTATGAAACATAGGATTATACAGCATCATACCAGTTAAAATGAGGTTATAGCCGTAAGCTGTGTCCAATTAAAGTTGAACAAAGCCACCTCATCTGCTCAACTCCTCTCTTAGTAGGTCAGTGAAACTGATGGAGAATACAGACACATGCTCTTCTCTGTGGCTCCGAGCGCAGCTTTCCCTAGCACACTCACAAGCCACGTTGTATAATGTGACAAGACCCATGTGCATGATCAAATATACACACTTTAAAAGTATTTTCTGCAAAAAACAATTAGAAAACCGAAGGAGACAACAGCTGCATCCTTGAGAACGATGTTTTTTAACTTGAGAAATGACTGTAGCGTACTGCAAAGAGGTGGTGTAACATAATGACATGTGTGTGTAGGTCTGAAGCGACCACAGAGACAGAGCTGCAGAGATACAGGACATAAAGTCACTTTGCAGAGAGAGTTGCGTTACCATTGGAGTGATGTATGACCCCAAGTCCCATCTGAGGGCTCATGTTACAAGGCTTATGCTGCACTACCGAGATAGCTTTCCCTATATGGAGTCAGGGGCTACAGTAATGTATGGACCCCGGTTGTTGCCAAAGCTCTGACTCAGCTCGCTGACTCGTGCCTCTAACCCTGACCTCTGTCCTGATAACTAGACATTTCAGCCGTGTACTATGTCATTGTATTCAATCCTATAGGAGGAATGGTCTTGTTAACTGTCACCTTGGTAACAGTAACATTGTTGTAATATAATGAGAATGTCAATACTTTTATTTTACTGACTTAGCCTATATAGACCTTTTCAAATTGGACAGAGCTCTTTTCTCAGAAATGTTCTACATATTTGAAAAGTATATATTTTATATATACCACAGTATTATAGCAAGTTTCAACAACAATATGCAATGCTGGAAGTGCATTTACTGCATTACTGTAAGTATTTTTAAGTACCTGTAGTTGTAGTACTTTCATTTTGTGCTACTTTTTACTTAGTGGCTTACTCTCACTTAGTGGTATTGCTATTTGTAGTTAAGTAAAACATGTGCATACTGTACAACCCTAACAATCTCGCCACTGTAAATTGTTTAATAAACATGGAATTTGAAAACAAACCACGTGTTACAGTAAGAATCCTAAATCAACATTTACACTTGTGCAAATTGCATGTAGATGTACACATTTTGGTTTCGCTCACTTGACTTTAATCTCCTTTTTAATTTAGAAAAGTTTTCCTTTGTAATTCATGGGTTTGTTTTTCTGTGTGCTCCTCAGGTTACCTTCACAAAGAGGAAGTTTGGCCTGATGAAAAAGGCCTATGAGCTCAGCGTGCTCTGTGACTGTGAGATAGCCCTCATCATTTTCAACAGCTCTAACAAACTGTTCCAGTATGCCAGCACAGACATGGACAAAGTGTTGCTGAAATACACAGAGTACAACGAGCCCCACGAGAGCAGAACCAACTCTGACATTGTCGAGGTGAGTGAGCGCCGCCTTCTCACTTTGTGTGGAAAAACCTATTTCAAATATTTTCTTTTTCTTATTTTCTATTCTTTGTGGTTGTTCTACAGTACATATCTTATGTTCAGTTTTAGGTTTAATTTATTATTTTTGTTCTTCATGCAGACTATAAAGTATATCTTCTGTGAGAAAGGCTTAAACACTCTTGCCCCAAAGGTTATGTTTTACACAAACAAGAGGAACAAGTAACAGTTTCCTTCTGGTCACCATTCAGATAGGGCACAGGAGGTCTGCTCTCCCTGATAAGTTCAGCGTCTCTGGTGCCCATCAACTGATGTGGAAAACCTATCTCTGCACATGCATGCACACATTAGCTACTGACCACCATTTCTATTCCTGTTTCCCATAGATATTGTACCTGCAGGTCTCAGTTCTCTGCCTCCTCCTCATCACAGACCATTAACGTATATTGCTGCAGTGAAAATACAGTGTTTAGTACATTCCACGCTGCTCCATAAAACTCAACAAGCACTTGGGTTTCCTGGCAGCTCCTGCATGCCCGGCGACTATCGGAAGAGTAAACCTCTTGTTATGCCAGTCTACAAAACTGTCTGCCAAAAGTGAAGAAGCCAAAGTAAATGAGAATGATTAGAGATACATCCTCTTCCAAACATCTTTCATCGGCACATGTGTGGTTTCTCAGCGCATTCATGTTCTGCTTTAAGAAGCTGGTATCTTCATTCTGACTCAATGAAAGCATATACAATGTATGTTAATGCCTATTGATAAAATCCCAATACTGCTAATATATAGTTGCCCATTCATTTTTTGAAAGCGCTTTTTTTTTTAATACACTTAGATTCGTTTTTCTGTACAAAGGATACTTTTAATTAGACAATGCACCCTGCCTCCTCTCGAACCTCTGTTGTTTTTACTGCCACCTGCCCACTAAAACATACAGCATTTTTATTACTGATGCCCAATTAGGAGACATTAATGGTTTAAGATGGGTGAGATTGAAACATTTCAAGAATCCTAGCTTTAGAAAAGACTTTCACTTGGGAGGAATTAGAGAAATGACATGCAGCATAAAGGAGTCAGCTGTGGCCCATTATCTTTTATTCATGCTGCTGCTGCTGCTTGTGAATTACCTGCTTGGCAGAGCTGCAGAAGAGTGCTCTGGCATCCAGCAGACTCATGCAGTCACTCCTCCATCAGGGGCCCTTACAGCAGAGCAGGGGCTCACCTGCATAAAAAATACATGGATACATTCCTTACTTACGTAACTGTCACCACACATCTGTTCTTGCTGTGACTCTGGAAGCTGTCTTATTTTAAACGGTTAAAAGCAACAACATCTCATAACCCTGATGGGGTTATTCACTGTAAGTTGGGTTATTCTCTTTACAGTATGTCACATATCTGTATTCTACCGGTGTATGTTTATGTTGGCAGCGTGGTCCAATTGCAATGTACATTTTACATAGTATAGCACCAGTTCTGATTTCCCACTTAGCCCTCCTGGCTACCTTTAAGGAAGCTGCCCCTTCGCACAAAAGACGAGAACAAACCCCTTTTGTCCCTGTTCACTCGGCCAGCATCTTTGCAGATATGTGCGGATCTCCCTCTGCCTGTTGGCTACGCGGTCAAGGTTCAGAAGTGAGGAAGCAGAGCAGAAGTAACCAACCCAGTCCACTTCACAGCATCACCACACAACCCCGCTATTCACTTGGCCAGGGAGCAGGGTGTCGGAGGTGGTTGATAATCTATGAAGGCTGTGATTTGATCATATTTTAAGAATATCCTATCTGGGTGCATAGTGTTTTTCAGCATTTGCTCTTGTCCACAGCTGCACAGATTGTTGTACACCACATGGACGAGCCGATGCCTCTGTATTGATGGCAAGAGTCCACCCCTCCCTGATTATCTAGTGAAATGGGCCTCACATGAGGGCACTTACGCGGGACACTTATCTAAATGTCTTAATTGTGTTAAACCAATCTTTGCCATGCAAACAATCATGTGCTCATTTGTTCCCAGTTTGGGAGGTCAGAAAAACCCTTTCCAACTTTTCATTGGGAAGCTTGTTCCGTGTGAGAAACTAAATCAAAGGTCACATTCCTGCTCAGTAGTACCATCTGTAGATAAAGGCTGAGCTGTGCAGTGTGGGAGAACAGTCGCCATGTTTTCCACAGATGGATGCATGCCTGGGCCACAGTTTGATAACGCAGTGGAGGGCTATGGACTTTGTCTCAAACTTGGCTCGCGGACTGTTTGCGTCTGCATGTGTTGATGGTCTTAACCTTACCAGCACTGCAGGCAGCATGTGAGCTGTTGTGATGTGAACCTGTGTGTCATTTTTTAGACAGTTATGAATTGGTATGGTAAAGTGGAATGTCAATGTTTGAGTTTTTGTTAGAGGCTCTTATTTAGGTAGGAAAAATTCATATTGGAACATATCACAGTGCTCACTCCTGGTTGCTTTGTGCTTAAAAAAACACTCAGAGTTAAAAATGTGTCTTTGGAGCGTCTCATTTGCCGTATCTTTCTCCTCGTAATGCAGAACAGTAAAACACTCCGGTCTCAAGATCATACTCATCAAGACATGAAGTCATTTCTCCCTGGAAACAAACACGCTTTTCAATAAGGTTGTATCATTGTAACCGAGCAGAGTTATCATGACTCAAGGTTTAATGGTGTTGTTCCTATTGTGTTTCTTATTGAATTCAGTTTATGCCACAAATCCAAATGCTGCCGTTAGTCATTAGATTAATCTAATAATATTTACTCTTCCTCCCCTCTCCGCTAGTGAAGCTAATGAGATTTTGCTCATGGTCCGCTATTACCTCACACCGTGCACAGAGCGATCCTGTGTCTGCAGCAGAAACCTTGAAATCAGAAAGTAACTTCACAGGCATCATTCAGCATTTATCTGTCCTCTCTTTGAACAATTTATTATAATTAAGGTATATAGTGTAGATTAGGATTAATCAGGTTTGGAGGCATTAAGTCAACACTTAACTTTAATCCTATAAAATCAGGGCTGTGAATAGGCTTTAACCTTATTTGAGAATGAAATGTTGGTCAAATACCGATGCCTTGTTATTGTAAATAACTGGACTGCACCATATGCAAAACATTGACTTTTCACTTTTATTTTTCCCTGATGATTTGTGGGAGTAAACAACCTAAGATCATTCATAGGGAAATTCTGCTTATCTTCCTCATAACAAAGCGTGGGGGCCATTGTTAATGTGACTGGGGAAAAACAGACAATTCCCTCTCTATTTATGAAGAAACGTCTTCTCTCACAAGATCTCTACAGTGAAGGGAAATGAGCATAAAATGATCAGGTAATTTCCATTAGGCTTCATCTCATGATCTCTCTCTGTTGTTATAAATGGGGCTGTATTAATCGTTCAATGGGACATGTTAATTTTGACCATTACTGAATGTCAAGCCCTGTGTTTTCATATTAAGCTATTTTGTTTATGAATTTCACGACTGCCCTTTGCAGATTTTAAATTGACTAAAGCTTCACCACAAATAAGGGGTGAATTTGCCATAATTCTTCATATTTGATTATTTATTCATTAGTGTACCGATGGAGAAACTCATGCCGCTGTGCTTCAAGAGTGCATTTTCGATGACTTACAGTACAGCTAAAAAAGGAATACATTTTATTTCTCGTTATGGAACGAACCCCTTGCAGTGCTTTGGGCTGAATGGGCACCAGGAGTTTCAACAGGGGATGTTTATGTTGTCAATCAAAGGCTGAGCAGTGATTAAGACTCATTTCTATCTTAATGAATGCAAATTGGCACATCTGCTATGGTGGGCTAGCTGTCCAGACTCTTCAATTAGCATGATTGATCAATTATCCTCCTGCTGGTGGCTCACTGCAAATGGAGGCTGGGAAGAGAGATGAAAGAGCATGAGAAGAAAAATGAACAGAAAACTGTCCAAAACTGAATAAATCAGATGCTTTATTTGATTAAGAGAATAATGGAATTTCATTTGAACCATGAAGGCGCTATACTTTACAGTTCTTTAAAAAAAATAGATAGCTATTAAATATATATATTTAAAAAGCTATAATTATATAGCTGTTTTTTTTACTTAATGACACAGATACATACTTCCGAGTTTGTACATAATAAGACAACTCAAAAGTTGATATTTCTTATATTAAAACGGATACTTGCATACACTACTGCAACTAACTATGTTTTTGATCAAATCTGGCTCTGAATCTGTAAACAGTACTTTTTCACGCTTCTTTTTTTGTGTTGGCATTCCCATTGTGATACATCAACATGAAACAAATACATAATTTGCATTTTAAATAATAACATTTGTGATCAAATATTCCTGTGAGAAATGAGCTCCAGCCATGCAAATATTAAGTAGATCAGTACTCTTTCAACTCCAAAGTCTGTCGAGGATAGTGTGGTGCGTGTCTTGTTTGTGTTTTTTTTTAACAGTAAGCGTAGATCATTGAATATCAAAGCACACTGGTGAGACTGCTCTGAGTAGCAGAGTGTGTATTTATAATTGTGGCTCAGAAACAGGACGGTCAAATGAGGCTCCGGCTGGCACACAAGGAAACTGCCACTGCCACCATGTTCTCTAATGCAATACACAGTATTACAGCACAGCAGTATAGCTATGGAGGCGATGAAACACATTTACCATGACATTTGCCAACACATTGTCACATTGATTGTAAATGAATTTAAGTATAACAACAAAGATATCTACCAAAATGGATTTGGGTAATTCAATGAAGTAGTAAAGAAATTGTATTATTATTTACCCATCAAGCTGTTTGTTATTCTTGGCCGTTTTTAAATCATTGTGCTGTAGTGTAACACAGCTGTGCACCAGATATTTGTTTTCTCTATCTTTGCAGACCAACTATCTGTGAATCGTTTTTCAAAACATTCATCAGTATTACATCATTCTACATGAGGTATATCTAACTATCATTGGGAAAACAAATGACCTACTAGCACTTT